GACTGCAAACTAGAGAAGGTCGGAAGCTGGGCCACAAGCTAGGGAAGCCTAGGGGTGGCCAGGGCCATGAGTTGGGGAAAGTCATGGGCGGGGACACAGACTAGGGATAGTTGCAGGCAAGGAAAGGTCGAACATGGGTGCTGGTGGGCTGGCGCGAGAGTGGGACCACGAGTCGGCTACCACATGTGGACGGGGCTGTGGGTACTAGGGGTGTCCAATGTTCAATTAATCAAACCATGGGACATTTTTCAAATTGAACTAGTACCACCAGTTTTTCGAAAACTGCAAAACCAAAACCAATTGATTAAGTTGATTTTGTTTTTTTGTTTTGAATTTATAATATATGTTATAGATAAATATATAATTATATAATAAAAATATTAGAAATATATGTTATAAATATATATATATATATAATGCATATATATGTTATAAATATATGGGCTTGGCGGGTACAATAGGGCCACAAGCCAAGGATTGGGCTGTGTGGGCGGTGATGACCGCGGGCATAGGCCTTGGAATGGGACAACTGAGTGCAAGGCCACATTAAGGCTGAAATTAGGGGAGAGGCTTCAAACACCCATAACTTTGCATTTTCGGGCCCAAAACTCCACCATTTTGGCCTGCAAGCAAGCATTTTCCTATGAAACTTTTTTTTTTTTTTTATAGTCACACATCTTAGCTGTTTCAATTCCATTTGAGTCTGCATTTGTTTTGGACAACTTCTTTTTACTAAATTAAGATGTTTTAGAAGGTTTGGGTTCTACCAAGATTTTCACTATTTTTGAAATTCAGGTTACGACAATTACAGGTTATAGCCGTAGGTTGGCATTTTGTTGACGAATGCAACTTTTACATTACTTTCTGTACAACGATTGGTCAACATTAAACAGGTATGTGTTTATTAATGACGGTCATGAATTCACCAATGTTTTTGAATCGCTTTTGGCTTTGGAATCGTTAGGCAACCGGTTCCGTTTTAACTGCTGAATTGATTAATGACGCATTGACTTAGGTGATTTAACCATTGATCCATTGATTTTTTTTTTCATCAGAACAGGCAGTTCATTTAAACCAAATGATTGAATCATCAACCCAAAAACCGATGATTAGAACGATTCCAATCCTAAATCGATTTTTAAAACATTGGATACGGACGGACGGGGCTGTAAATAGCCCGGATTCGAATTGGTTGTTCACTTGTGTGATCATTTACTCGTTTATCTATGCATTCCTTTTCTACTTCTCTCTCTCTTTTTATTCATGTTATTTATTTGCTAATTAGACACACGTTCAAAATATAATCACCACGGTTTCATTCAAATCATCTATAATTTGTCACATCATAAAACGAAATCAAGCATAACAATATTCATCATAATAATGATAAATAAGAGTTGTTATGACTGGTGACAAGAAAATATTAGAAGCAATGGCTATCAATGACAGAAAATCATTAATCCTAGACTCCTAGATGTTAATGTCACAAGCATAAAAAAATCTAAGTAAGAAACTACATCTTTATATTATTGAGGGTCCATTTGGTTTGTACTCAGAATCAGAATCAGAATCGGAATCAGAATGGGAATGATTCATTCCCATAATATGTTTGGTTCAGACAGGAATGGAAATGGGAATTAAAATCAGCAGGAATGGAATTTCATTCCCAAGAGAGAGGCAAGGAATGGCCATTCTCTCAAATTCCAATTCTGCCCAACCAAATAGTTGAAATTAGAATAGCCTATTCCGATTCCGATTCCAAACCCCTATTCCCACAAACAAACGGAGACTAAGATTTTAATCAATTCAATAAATGACGTCACTAAACAATATTCATCGAAATTGACAAATGTTGACAGTGAGAAGAACAACAATAACAAAAGATCCAGCATGCCGACCAACCAAATAAATAGAACTACATTTGAAATTTTATACATGGCTTACATACATAGATTCAGAAATCAGTGGACTGCACGAATGCAACCTAAAACCAAGAATTAACAACTCACTTGACACGTCATGTATCTATTGCAAAATCAAGCATCCTCTTAAGTCTTAACTAAATTTGATCCTCACAAAATGCACCTTACAGCATGTTCTGGCTACACATCAGGAACATCTCTCGTGCTTGTATTTATTATTCATGTAAAAATGTTTTCAATACAGGGTGGAATGTGACTTTGAGGTCGGTGTGAGGCACGTTCAATGAGGAACAGATCCTAATTTGGCTAAAACAATAGAAAGAAGAGTTGGTTGGACCCCTAGAGGGGCTGCCTATATACCCTTTGGTGAGGGATCAGAGACCGCATTAGTTCGTCAAAGATGGAACTCTGGCGAGGAAGAGAGAAAATGACTACTAGTTATAAAAGGGTGAAAGAACAATGGAGAGGAGAGAAAGGAAATGGACTTCAATGTGAAGAAATAGGCAAGTCCCTAAAATGGGTATGAAATCCTCTATTTATAGAGTTTTGGATAGGTTACATTGCAAAAGTTTCTTGGACTAGATTTTTTTTACTCTTTCATGAGGGACAATTTGGCCCGTCCAACAATGTGACGACACGTAGAGTGATGAAATGATATGGTGACACCTCAGTGACCTCGGGCACCTCAGTGATCCCGGTCACCTCGCGCACCTTGGGTCACCCAACTAGACTGAGACTCGAGTAGCTCAACTACATGCACCGACCTACCGAGGTGCCATGTAACTTCCATCTGGGCTGTCTCTGATCTCCTCGGGATCACAACATACGTCAATGGAATTTATCTTATCTCCGCCCGATTCAAACAAACTTGAATAAGCCTTATCAGCTTACACGAACTCCATCTTCGGGTACGAAATCAACTCTGGACCAGACGGGCCGACGATGTCGGACACGCATAGTGAGGCCCACGGCAACTCAACTATATAAAGGCCTTGCCTCCAGTCTCACAAAGTACACACAATTAAGCTCTCAAATTCTCTTGCAAACTAGCTTTCAATTCTCTCAAATCTCCACATCGCTAATTTAAGCATCAAAGTGCCTACACCTAATAAAGCACCCTAGACACTCTGACAGACTTGTTTTGCAGCTCGACCAGGCGACCTCACTAGCCCGACATTCGAGTTGTCCTCCAGCAAGGAGCTACCAGATCATGCTACATCAACTCTTTTCTTTTCCAATTTTACCTGGAATGTTCTCTTACTTGCACATGTCTAATTAACCTTCTAAAGTACTCATTTGATTAGAACACATGCTTTATTAACTTTTTAAAATGTCCAACATTTGAAACTTTAACTAATTGAATTGAAAATGGATCGGTTTGACCTGGGTTCAGCCTGAGTCAATTGAGTCTGTGTACTTATGTAATACCATTCTCTTACACTTGGACCTTATTTTAAAAGGATTTTGAGGCGAGGCCAAATGCCTAAGCCTCAAAGCAAGGCTAGGAAAAAAGGTCTAGCCTCAATAGCCTTAGAATCCACCAGTAAGGCTTAAGTCTTGGGTTGTTTGAGGCTTACATCTTTGTGCCTTTGGCCTCAAAATGCCCACTGGGTCTCAATTATTTGGCATGTTAATGTTGAACATTAGGCTCAATTTAGAAAGAGTATAAATATAAATATGTATAATGCAAATATATGAAAAATAATATAAGATACGAGGCTTTGCACTCTACATATTTGTATTTGTACTCCTTCCAAATTGAGCTATATAGGGGCAAAATAGAAATTTAAGACAAAAAAATGATGCCTTGTTCATATATATTATCATATTAAACAAATAAATGCATATAAAAGTGTAAGAAAATAGCTTTCTTTAGGCTATATTTGGATTGAAAGAAAATGTGGGAAAAGGAAAGGAAAGGTAAGGAAATACATACAAGGTTTGTAAAGATTTTCCTACATTTCCTTTCCTTTCCCTACTTTTTCCTTAAAACCAAACACAGCCTTATTATTTACACTCTTGTATCATTCATACTTGCCCATTTACCCCACTCTTGATAATCTATTTCTTTTAAAGCAAAAGCATCACACATTGGTTCCTAAATTGTACGAATTGGTTCCTAAATTTACAATTAATTCACAAACACGAGGGTGATTGAAAAAATAAAATAAAAGGGAAATCTTCATTTTACCCCATCTCACAATTTTTTTATTTTTTATTTTTTCAAAACCCAAACACAATACACCGTGTGAGAATGACCAAATTCAAGCGAAAAGAGCCCTATGACATTTTCAATTGAGCCAAGCGAATCCATGTGCAATTAAAACATTATTTTATTTGTTATATCTAGCTGGCCATCTAACCACAACCCAAGTTGCACCCAAAATGAGAGTGGCCAAATTTAATATTATTTTTAATTAATTTTATTAACTTCTAAATAAAAATTAAATGGGCATTAAATTAGTAAAAAATAAATTAAAAATTAAAAATATTTATTGTATTTTATTAGTAAAATTACTTTTCTTCAATGTTAGTAAATTTTATTACTTTTAGTTTTTTTAAAAAGATTATAAATTATAACTTTATGAGTAATAACAATCAATAATTGTTATAAATTATATAATAATTATACGATTTTATAATATCGAAATTGAATTTCATTTCGTGAGTGAACAGGTGGCAGGGAAACATGTTCATCGTAGTGGAGCAATCACAATAACATGAGCAATTGAGCAAAGAGTCATTAGTTTAAGAAACTGTGCTGAATCTACATTCAGAAATCATTATTTTCCAGGAAATTAAACGAAACCATGAAACTACTCTCTTTCTCTCCCTCAAAAAGAAGGTGAAACCATGAGATGAGAACAACATTTTTTCTCCAAGTGTTCTTTCTTTCTTCTGAACTGAATGCATAAATTTCTTCCTTTTTGCCTTTTTTTCTGTTTCAGTTCAGTTTTCATCATCTCTTGGTCGGTCGATCGACTTGGTTTATTATTCAGAAAGAGCCCCAACTGGAAGACATAATCTGAATCGAATCTGAGCAACCTTCAACCCTACGGGCTGCATCTAACCTGGTTTTTAGGCCACAGACTTTGCTGAAGAGAGCTGGAGGGCGCCGACTGCGTCATCTGGGATGTACTTCCCCCAGAACCAGTGCTGCTTCCACACTCTGTTCATTTCTTCAATGGGAACGTTCTTGGTCTCCGGCAAGAAGAAGAAGATGAAGAGGGTCATTATCAAGACAAACCCTGCAAAGAAGAAGAAGAGACCGAACTTCATGTGACAAAGCATGGCCAGAAAGGCTTGAGCAATGCCGAAGGTGAACAACATGTTCACTGATACATTGATGGCCTGACCAGCTGATCGTATCTCCAGAGGAAAGATCTCACTGGGAACCAACCAACCCAATGGACCCCATGACCAGGCGAAAGCTGCAACATAGGAGCAAATCAAGAACAGGACGAAATCTGCGTAGCCCTTTGACAAGGATCCTTGTCCACTCTCTCCAAACTTGATACCGAGCACAGTTCCCACACCAATCTGCGACAGATATCGATGCATTCATGGGTTATGAAGTGAGCAACTCAAACTCAAGTGTTCTTCGCTTTAAAGGACCGGTATTGCTAATTGATCAGTGGTAAGTGGTGGCAAAGAAATTGTTTTAACTTAATTAATGGATATACCTGGCAGATGATCATCTGAATTCCACCTTCGATGAATAAGAACCTTCTTCCGTACTTGTCGACTGTCACGATAGAGACAATGGTGGCGAAGAAATTGACCAGGCCGGTTATGACAGCAGACATGAGAGAAGCTGCACCGCCAAAGCCCAGTGTCATGAAGAGAACAGGTGCATAGAACATGATAACGTTGATTCCAGTGAGCTGCTGGAAGAAAGGAATCATGATGGACATGACGAGCTGAGGCCTGTATCTGCGATCTATGATGTTCTTCCATGGGTGCTGCACCTGCTTCGCAGATTCGCTTGCGTCGATGAGGTCTTGGAACTCCTCGTCGACGTCGGTGGTGCCGCGGACCTTCTGCAGCATGGCCTTGGCCTTCTCTGTATGGCCTCTTTCGATGAGAGAGTTGGGGGTGTCTGGTAGGAACAGTGACCCAACTGTCATTACGGCCGCCGGAACTGCTGCAAGAATCAGGGATATTCTCCACCCATATCCACCCTTGATCTTGTCTGTGCCATAGTTCACAAGGTTGGCAACCAGGATTCCAATGGTAATGGCCAATTGGAAACCCATGTTCAGAGCTCCTCTAAGTTTTGCCGGAGCCATTTCCGATAGATACACTGGTACAGACTGCATCCATTGCTCATTCAAATCAATCACCACCCCCAACATACAATATATATCAGAAGAGAGAGAGAGAGAGAGAGACCTGATTAGCAAATCCCACACCGACACCAAGTAAAAGGCGACCAAGGATGAGTATCCCGACGTTGTTGGCGATGCCATTAAGGATGGAACCAATAAAAAACACAGCACCTCCAATGGCCATAGAGATCTTTCGACCAAAGAGTCTGGTTATTGCAGAAGCAAAGAAGGAGGCTATCAACGCCGCGATGTAAAGGGAAGAAGTGAAACTGGTAAGAAGCTGACTATCGAATTTGCAGTACTGGTTATGTGTATCAGTGTCATCGTTCATCCTCTCATAAACCGAGGGGAAGAACTTCTTCAAGAATGGACTCATAGAAGTAACCCCTCCTGCAGAAAAAAAAAAAAACAGTCAACACCAATATATGATCAGATACCAATTTTACTGTAAACAATTTCTTCAGTCTTCGTTCACAAATCACAACCTGAAATCCCAAGATCGTAACCGAAGATGAGACCGCCGGTGGCAGCCACAATACAAGTTATGAGCACGAAGAGGGTCATCCCTCCGGCATAGTCTTTTGTTGGTCCATGCGAAGCAATTCCTCCTCCTGCCATTCTGCAACAAACCAGTGAATCTTTGGTGTCCTCCTAGTTAACCAAACTGGGTCGTACGAGATCTTTCAATCGTTCGAACCACTTGAACTGGCAACAAGCTTTGATTCTGTTGTTCTTCCTTATCCAAACCAAAGGAGAATTGAGCCTTAAAAAGGAATGGCAAGTACTCCAATTTAGGCGAATGACTGTAACGGATTTTTCCTTTTTTCGAAAAATTAGAGTGAAAACCATGCTGACTGACTCAGTTATCCTACAAACAATCTTGTCCATGATTTCATGGATCGCCATGTTTTGTGGGTCTGATCTAGAAGTTTGATAGATGAGCTGGGGATTAATGCAGTTGCCTTGTATAACCAGAAATAGTAATACTAACTCACTAAACCACTCAGATGTACTCCATACATTTCAACCTACAGCTCCGAAAAGGTTGTGAAAAGAAGTGGAGAAATGGTCTCTTTCCTTTGGGAGTGTTTTTCTGTCTTGCTCTAGCCAAATACTTTGAAAGTTTCTGATGCTCATTCTTAGATTTTGAATCTTTCTTGATATATAGTTTATGAAACTAGATTTGGCTACTCATTTTAGAGTAGGATGAGTACAATGAGCACACTGAGTAAGAGCATTCCTTAAATTTTCTGACATTCTTTGGGAGATCCCAAACTTCATCGTCCACAGCTTCGGCAAATAAATTGATGTGGGGGACTTGAAATATTGAATCAACATATAAATGGATTAGAAAGTTATTTGGGTCCATTTGGTTCCATGCAAAGTATTGGGCCCAACCCTAAATTTGGGTCCCAGATTTAACTGAAAATTGACATATTCAAGTTGGGTCTGGGCCAGGCTGGGCTAACCTTGGTCAATTGGGCTCAAGTGGATATGTCCGGTCCAATGTAATAAAAAGTTGCATAAAGTTATTTAGAATCACTCTAATTTAAACCTTTAAATAGGAATTTTGTATATTTTTCGAATAGGCATCCATGCATGTCTGTATGTGTGTGCATATGCATGCATATATCTATCCATATGTGCATATAAGCCTGTGTATAGTGAGACTGGGCCTAGGTTGGACTAAGATCGGGTTGGGTTCGAGACAGGCTCACGCTACCTAGGGCCTAGGCTCGAGCTCAGCTCGAAAAATAGAAAAATCCAAACTTTTGAATCTATGGCCTAGCTCAAAAAATAGAAAAGTCAAAGGTTTTGAGCCCAGCCTGACGAATGTGGCTAGATTGGGTTGGACTCTGGTTGGGCCTGCACAAATTACACCCCTAATGTGACCGGGTTCACATATAGTGATGTTGTGCTATGATTAGTTTTTAAGGTCCAGGGAATATATACAAAACATTTTGTGTGTGTGTGTATATATATATAATTCTCAATACGAGCTCTAATTGTAATAGAGAGAGGGGATTTTGCAAATTAGGGCAGAAATTTGATTGAGCCTGTATTTTAGTCTTCTACTTATGATAAGGTCTTATTTGATTTCTTTGCTTCTGTTCTTCCCATTTATAAACTTCCGTCAGTTGTTTTTGTTTTAGGTAAGGTAAATGTTATTAGGCAAAATCTATGATGCATATACTGCACCATGAAGCAGAAAACATGAACTAAGTGATAAAACAATACGTCACAGCTGACATTTTTAGAGTTCTTGAAGTTTTGATGGTGAATACACCTTGTGAAACATGCAAAATAAAAAAGTAAATAGATTATGTGACATCTTTAACGTGATTGATTGCAATCTTGATTCAAAATGCAACAAATATTTATAAATGCAATGTAGTTGAATTCGTCTTATTAAAAGAAAACAAAAAAGAAAATACAAACATTGGTTTATCCAATAAAACCCATGCCCAAAAATACAATCTAAGGTCCCAAGAAATCTAAACCGATTAAACTAAACACAAGCCCAATAGTAAAACCATCTCCCATGCATAACATAGAAGCACAGGAGATGTTCCCTATGTATGGCTGCGATGTCATGTGCATTAGTGTGGGTAGGAAATCTAAACTGGACTCGAGTTCAAATCTCTGTGCCCCATGAAGGGGGTGCCCCACAACGTCCCACAGTACATCCCCGCCATGTATTGGGAACATCTTCTAATGATAGTACCAGAAATGATGATATCATTATCAGGAGATATTCCTAATACACGGCAGGAATGTACCGTGGGACGTTGTGGGACGCAGATGTGAACTCAGTTGGGAGATGCTCTCAGAGGTTTTGATGGGATGGATGATCAGGGCCTGGAATATGGCTTTCCATCGACTCCGCTCGCCTGTTGGTTTGGCCATAATCGCCCCCATGTACTTCTAATGACAATGGTGTCTGTTGGAGGTTCTTCATTCTTGGAGAGGCTTTTGTGGTTCAATTCAACCCACATTTGCTACAACAGTGTCGTATCCCAGTACTGAAACAAGTAAATCAAAGCCTTTGATTTGCTGTTATGGCCCCACCTTGAATTAAATGAAGTGACTTCTTGATGGGGCCACTGCAATAGATCTAAGGCCATGATTTTCTGTTTTAGCCCTGCGCAATGTCGTAGCAAAGATTTACTCTTTGTGGTCATGAAAGATAATTCATGCATTTTATCGCTGAAACAAGGCAATTTTCACTGATAATTCATGCATTTTGTCTCCACAATTTTCTTTTAACAAGACGTGGGTCCCGTCCCGTGCATCGCATGATTTTGATTCCAAATAATAGTTTTGAGCCCTCTCTATGATGATAGAAGGAGGAAAGCACCGGTTCTGAAAAGTTTTTTCCATTCCTGTTTTTCCATAGAAACCAAAGAATGAAACTACACTTTTCTTGAGGCATATGCCCTTCTACTCTGCTACCCTTGTTCAAATTGCTCCACCAATGTAAGACTAAAGAATCATTCTGCTCTGGGCCTATAATGTTAGAGTTAATGGCTAGCCAAGCTTGCCTAGCTAAGGTACAATTCTTAAATATATGATCAATGTCCTCTTTCTCACCACAGATACTACAATCCTCATCAATGGGAACTCCTCTAGCAACAAGTAAAGCTTTAGTGGGTAGCAGAGAACTCAAAAGAAGGAATATAAAAGTTTTGATTTTAGGAGGAACCCTAAGACCCCAAATCCTACTGAGGATTATGTTAGGCAACGTTTTAAAAAATAACTCGAAAATGGAACCGTTCTAGTCAATGGTTTGACCATCTAGATCAACGGTTTGTTGACTTTTTCAACAGTTTTTTATCAGATTCTGGGTTTTGGATAAAACAGAGCCGATTGGGCCGAACGGTCCAAGCGTCCAGGCCAACGGCGATTTAGAAACGCTGATGTTAGGCCCTCCTAAACCCCTTTCAAACACACTAGCCTCTTTGTAAATAGATTTAATAGAAAATTTTCCTTTAGGGTCCAGCCACCAAATCATCTTATCCTCATTTTAACAAGGAGTGAGGAAAATTGGTCTAGTTTTATTCCAAACATGCATAGGGACTAAATTTCAAACTTTATCCTCTCTCTAAACCATTCTATCATGGTTGATGACTTCACTGGATTTGATTTCATTTTCCTTGTCAGAGGAGTCTCTATTCAAAAGCAAAAGCTTATTTATTGGAGCCGAATCAGCCCATCTATCTTTTCAAAAATTAATTTTGTTACCATCACCTACAAACACAATCCATCCAATTTTGTGGTATTCTTTTGGTGTAGCAAGTGATACAACAGTGTGTTATGGAATGTGGTATTCTTTTGGTGGGTTAATTACTTAAATACCCCTGAAGTATCTAACAATTACTTAAAGTGTCTAAATTTTCAAACCCTGAAATTCATTTTTTGTTACGTATGATTGTTAAATTGGACAAAAAGACTCTTACCCTTAATTATTTTTCAAATTTTAAAATGTGCCTTTGTTAAATAAAGAAATGTGTGAGTGTGAGCGATATCCAGCCTCGCATCGCCTCCCCCTTCTCTCTCTACTCTCTTCTCATCCCTACTTTGTTCGCTGTTGAGAAGAAAAACAAGAGAAAGACAAACATCACTGTTCATCTTAGTGTTAGACTATAGGTGTGTCTACCACTAAAAGAGTATTTAGAGCTTCGGTAGATTGAGTTTCAAACTATCAAGTATTCTATGTAAAATAAAACAGGGAACTCCAATTGACGGTGGCAAGCTTAGTCATGAACCAGTAAAAGGAGTTATCAACCGAGGGCTGGTTCGTTGGTATGTTAGTTGGTTTGTTCTAGTGTTAGTGTTGATATGGAATTAAATCTTGCAACCAGCACTTTGGGGAAAAAGGGGTCAAAGGGATTGGTTGAAGTTATTAATGGTACATAGCACCAAATACCCAAAAAAAAAAACCAGTAAAAGGAATAAAATCGACTCCTAGCTCTGGCAAAGTCTATTTAATGACTAAAAGGGTTGAGTTCCTCTCACAAGCATAAAACTCTATGGATTAAGTATCATTTTCTAAATAGAAATATCTGGTAATTTAAAAGAAAAATCCTAGTCTTCAATTTTTTTTCTTTTTTTACATTTTCCCCATTGTAAATTCCTACATTCTCTCTCTCTCTCTCTCTCTCTCTCTTTTTTGTTTTTCCGTCCTCTTCTTTTTATATCCCCTATTGTCTTTCTTTGTCAACAACACATAACAGAGTAATTGAACTAGTCCGGACTCCAGTCACTCCCTCTCCTTCCTTCCTTCCTTCCTTCCCTCTTTCTTCTTCTTCTTCTTCTTCTTCTTCTTACCATTGCCTCAATTTTCTTTACTTCATTTCTGGTCTCCTCGTTGAATCACTGAAATATTAACTCAAAAGCAAAGTGCATTGTGGCAGTCACCCAAACCCAAGTTATTGCTTGATAGGCAAGGCCAAAGACAAGAGCTTAGAGTCAATTTAACTCTAAGTAGGGGTGTTCACGGTTCAATTTTTATATTTAACCAAATCAAAACTGAACCGATGCAACCGGTTAACCGCGGTTCAGTTTTCCGGTTTTTTTATGACTTCAAAATTAAAAAAAAAAAAAAAGAAACTGGAGACAGGGAGAGTGGGAGAGTGGGAGAGTGGAAGAAATACAAAGAGCCCAGGACCTGGGAAGAACGAAGAATAAAATTGATTATTGGGAGCGCCGAAGGCCGTCGCCCGTTGGTCCGTTGAAGCTATTGCAGTTGGGAGTGCCGAAAGGCCGTCGCCTGTTGGTCCATTGAAGCTATTGCAATTGGAGCGCCAAAGGCCGTCGCCCATTGATCCGTTGATTTTTTGGAGTGCCGAAGAGTGAGAGTCAAGAGAGAGAGAGGGAAAGAATGAATCTGAGAGAGTGAGAGTCAAAAGAGAGAGCTCAAAGAGAGGGAAAGAATGAGTCTTGAGAGAGTGAGAGGAGAGAGAGAGAGAGAGAGGGACTGAAAAGTCTAGCTGTTCACCAATCTGGCGAACACTCTAGAGTCTACTGCTGAACTGAAAAGTTTCAGTTTGACATTTATTAGATTTTCAAAAAATAATAAAAAATAATATATAATATTAATATAAATATATTATTGTTTATATTAATATTATATATATATATATATATCGGTCGGTTCGATTAACTGCCGGTTTTTTTAAATGGTTAACCAAAACTGTCGATTTTTTAGAAACATTGAAACAAAATCGAACCAACCGATTTTTCGGTTCTTTTTGCTCACCCCTGACTGTAAGCGTGCTACCAAGCTTAGAGTCAATTTAACTCCTTTCAAAAAAAAAAAAAACAATTATCTCATCTCATCATTTGCTGAAAGGGGCTTCTCAATGAACAAATTATTGATGGGGGAGAATGATCCCCTTCAGAAGCAAATGTTACAACTAGTGTGCAAGAATGGGCATATGAATTTATCAAAAAAAAATGGCATATGAGGCACCAATTGCAGAAATATGGTGTGGTTTCTTCTTTTTGTTTATCCATTTGCCAAAGGCAAAATCCAACCATTGAAGCAGTCACCGGAGACTCTTCAATGGCCGGAACAAACGATTCATCCCTGAATGTGCAGGTTAAGGCTCTGTTTGGTTGCAGTGCAGTTTTATTTGCACTAGTACAAATGCATAGAGGTGCAAATGAAAAGAATGCAAAATCTGGTTTAGTTTTGTTTTGGGTTTTACTTTATTCTGCTTTAGCTCTTGTTTTACTTCATTTGTACTCTAATCAAACAAAATAGTTGCAAATTTGAAATAAAAATAAATCATAATTTTGCATCAAAATTTTCTGAATTTTCCTAGCACATCTAAATTCTAAATTTTTCCACCATATCCAATTTTTTTCTCCACGGGGCTATACAACTGGGGGATCACACATCCCCCAACCCTGGTGCAGGCGGGATTCAACCACAGGCCTCCACTACAACCACCAGGAGGTCTTACTAACTAACCAATTGGCACATTGCCTTAAAACTGTGTTTTCTTTTTATTCATAACATGTCTCTAATAATTGTGTTTTCTCTATTTAGCCTTTTTTTTTCCTTTAATTCTCTTATGATTTCGCTTCACAACAAATAATCATCTGGCTATACACATTTTCTGAAAAGCATGTACAATAAGATCCATTTTAGTAGTGCATTTGTGCATTTGGTTGGTCACCCTGGTCTCCTTTTCCCATGCTTCCTTTTTTTACATGCATTTTGCTCTTTCACTCTCTTGTTGCAACATCGTTTGGTGCAAACCCGTCACCATAAAATTATTTCCTTTTGCTAGGAATTGTAACATGAAAAAATTAGTACTAATGGCATCTTCCAAAAGAGGTGGCCTTACTACTGTTTATCTTCACATCACATATTTGCCTCTTTGGCAAATCGACCAAAGGGTCTTTTTACCACTTTGAGGATTTGAATTTAGAAGCAATTTCTCTTTCTGGGTGCAGGTGGATTCTTGCAAATGTTCTGTTCAACAACTTTTAATTGGCCAAGTGAGAGAGAGAGAGAGAGAGAGAGAGATGTAAAGATAGACTAAGGCAGTAGTACGGCAGTAGTCATTAGTTGGATGAATTGGGAAGAGCCGAAGAGGAATGCAAGGATCTTTAAGGCTCTGTTTAGGAAGAGTGCAAATACAAACGTTGTCATTTTCACGAACCTTGCAAATGTTTTTTTTGGCAATAAACCTTGTATATTTGTGTTTGCACTGAACACTCAACACGCTCGTAGTGTACCTCCACTCATCCCAAATGGAGCCTCAGGTGCAATATGAAACTATGGAAGCTATAATAGTGTATATTGGTGAGAACGGTGCATTGGATTATAACTCAAATGCAATGGAAGTCACTCGTAAGGTTTAACACAACTAATTTTGCATGTATAACTAGAGAATGATCCCTTACCAAGTACGTACAGAGCAACTACAGTATGCTTTAGTTTGAAATTTACTATTTAATTATAAAAAAATTAATTAGAAAAATTAATATGGGTCTTACATCTGTGTAATTCATAATCTATTATGATCTATGTTATTTGAAAATCACTATTAATTTATATTGTTTGTAATATGATTTAAGAGATTAAATGAGGTCTTATTTATAAACAGTAACCCACGTTAATTGATATTTACTATTTATTTGATAAATTCATTTTGAACTTTTTTATGTGTCTATCATATAAATAGTTACGTTTGTATCATTTCAAAGTGGATTGAATATGTTTAAATAAACCACTTCTAAGGTAATTATTCTATTTGAAAGTAAAATTAACCGCTTTTGAGATCCTCTTTTCTAAAAAATTAGAATGTCACAGTTTGACTGATGCTTTGGCGATAAAGGGGCGAGTAGGGATCAAATCTTTTGGGCTCAATTCTAAATAGTACTTTTGCTTGGGGATAGGTGGAATCTTCTAGCCTATGGGACTTAATGTCTCTATTTTACACATTTATTTGCTGTTTTATTAATAAATTTTTCAATTATATCTTTCAAAAAAAAGTCTGCTGCCTTGTAGCCGTCTCAGATTCTGATACTCGTCGTGATACACGTGGCACAAATGGATTCAATTCTATGATCGTTAAAAATTCCCATGATCAAGGCACAACTTCCATGAAGAAGTCCCACAAAAGGTTATTGATAAAGACATTTACAATGACAAAATGGGTTCAGAACCAATAAATTTACAGAATGCGCTGAAATTCATTGAGGTCGTTGAGAACTACCAGATGTCAATCGAGTCATGTGCTGCAGGTTCCACTAAACCAAGAACCTTGAACAAGCTTATGTGCAAAATGGATCTCGAGCCAACCAAATTAATGATCACTGTGAACATGAGGTAAAAGTTCAATAATACCATTAAGAAAATGAATTTCTAATCACCATAAAGTTAAAAGCACTGATATATTTAGGTTGTGTTTGATACCATTGATGATGTTTCAACCTAAAGTGTTTTGGGTTGAAACACCATTTCTACTTGAATCAGAAGTACCATGTTCTATACTTTCTGGGAATGTGCTTGTCATTCGTGTTAGTACCGCATCAGTGCCACATCAATCAGGGCATTGAGACTTTGCCTCCCAAAGCAGGAATCATCAATTTGGCATTTCCTCAAACATCCCCTTGCATCGGTTTCAATGCAAAGTGATTTATAACAGTTGGCTCAAAAAAGTATCCAACCAAACAGAAAATTGGCCGCTGAAGTTTAGATGCCTATGTGGCACAGATGTAGCACCATTTCTACTCGATACAATCATGGTACCAAACACCACCTTAATTCACAGAAACTCAAAGCAAGTCAATTTACCTTTTGTCAACCCCGAGTCAAAAATTCACGAATTGATGGACCAGTCGGTCCGCGTCTCCTTTTCTGCTTGGATTATTCAAAAGCAACAATAGATCTTAGGCAAATTCTCACACTAGTGAAGCTAAAATAAGTGTAAATTTCTCTACTCACTTTCTCATTGTTGAACAAGTCTTCTGCGATAGCTTCCATTTGTTTTTGCTTCTTCTCTGCTTTCACATATTCAGCCACCTCACTCCCATAGTCAGATTCACTATCAGGTTCAGCAAGAAGCATATAGCAGACATGTAGAGCCTCAATATTTTCCAGAAACCATTAAAATGTTGCTGAATCTAGAGCTGAGATAAAGAATATAGTTCTCACTTGTATGGGTATTTCGAAAATGGGATAAGATCTTTGAAGCTATTCCCTGACTGAGTCTCTCTCTGCAAACCCATATTAACAATTAGAGAGAACTAAGGTTAAGAAATATCATATACCCTGAAACATAGAAAACAAATCACACATAAAGACTAGCAAACTGTCAACATTAGTTTATAAGAATCTCAACCAATATCCTTCGAACTGAGATTCAGAGATTATCTACCTTACGAGTCATGACTAGCAGAATTTAACACATCCTAGGATACTTCAAACCAACCAATCAACAATCCATTAATCAAGTGGTGAACAAATTTTGTAGGAACACGAGGAACTCATTAGTATGCCCATTTTCTTCCTTTTCCTTCCAGCCTGGAAACAAGGATTTTCAATAGATTTACTAACACCTGGTTCAGTAGGAAGAGACTGCAAAGACTTGAAGTTGCCAGGAACTCAGTTTTTTATTATAGGGGAGTGGGGAGGCAGGTGGTTTGACATTTTCATCAAGCAAAACTAAAATTCATTTTAGGCAGACTAGCAACTTAACCAAGCCAATTCTTTGTCCAAAGGCTTCAAGTAAAATCAGGAATTAAGAAGCAAAAATGCATAGCATCCCGTCCAAAATCAGGATTAGATGGAATAGTTTATTGTCGTAGATGTGAATTACCTTTCTAAAGCATTTGAAGTTAACCACTACAGTTTTTGTCATGGAAGAAACTGAAGCTGGTGCCTTGGCATCTATAACAACCAAATCTTGACTGAATATAACATCTGAATTTTGATTTTCAGATGTCTCAGATTCAATAAGCTTGTCACTTTTAGTGATGATAATGCCACCACCCTCGGTCCTAAAACTTGAACTTTGCACTTTCTGTGAAGCAGTATAAGCATGATCTACAGATATCTTCCCTTTAACTTCATGTCTTATGGCTTCTTCTGATTGAGTAGCTTCAGTCACATGATCTGATGCAGATGTGTCCACTTCCACATCAGAATCTGCAACTATCGTCTCATCCGTAGAGCATGAGGATGAAACAAGTACTGCAGAACAAATCTTGTAAGGTGCAGCATTTTGGTAGAGACAAGTGGATACCAAACCAAAAAAGAACAATAGGACTTAAATACTAAATTACAAGAAAGTGTCCCAATAAGAAGCAAATTTAAGAATACAAGTCCTTGACTAGTGTGAGCGTCGAAAAACGGTTCACTTGGGCTGGATTGGAGTCGCCACCCATCAGTTTCAGAAATAGAGGTGATGGGACCTCCGAGAATGATTTTCAAAACCGATTTGTTTTAATAGTGACTCCACTAGCCCAAGGCACCGGCTAAACCAGTCCGGGTAAGACTCGGATGGGAGAGGGAAGGGGTCAGGGACCCCTCTCCTAGGTCCAATAGGTGGGGCCCACATGGGATTCCATAACAAGCATGATCACAGATATGTAATTAATCAAACAACATAAAGACAAAGAAAGCAAATCATAAGGACAAACCAATAAAGAAGTAAATTCCACCCATTTTATTTTATTTATTTTATTCTTATTTCAAAATTTAAGATTTTAGTTTTAACCTTTTTATTTTTTATTTATCTTTTTATTATTATTATATCTTTATTTCCTTTTTTTACTAATTATTTTTTATTTTATTCATTATTTATTTTTTTGTTATTTTCTTATGAAACGCTATTTATTTTATTTGTTTATGTATTTTTTTATTGTTTTTGAATCTTTTACATCTTATGTTTAATATTTTTTTTACTTTTCTCTTTTTCTTGACTTTTTTTTATTTTTACAGTTTTTTCTATTTATTAGTAGCTTATTCTTTCTCCTATTACCTAAGTACGATTGAATCAATTGTACTAACATCTCCATTTCATTTCTTTTTTCCTAATTTATTTATTATTTGATTATTTATTTTCTTATTCTCTTTTTTTCTTTTGTAATTAAGGTGATTTATCCTCCCCGGCTAATCATTCCTTTCCATTCAACATTTGTAAACAAAAGATCCCTCTCTGCCCTCATATTTCATTGTTGTCATCATCCTATATTTAATTTTTTTCTTTTAATCGAAATCAGAGTTCAGTCTCTCTTCCCACCAAAAGACTAAACCAAAAAACAATTGCAATTCAAATAAATTTACTCAGTATAGTGAATCCATTACCATATTCCCCATCGACACAAATGCAGAGAATGGCTCAGAACTTCATTGCCATCTCTAATGTTCGAGAGAAGACCATTATTGAGGTAGGGATTGAAGGTAAAAAAGAAGATGAGTAAACAAAATCAGAGAACAAAACTTACCTGGATTGGAATTTTCTTTGGTTGAAAACCTGGATTGGATTTAGCCTGCCTGAAAATGTACACTACAATAGGGGGAGCTTTCTCGCTTTGGAGGATTTGTCCATGCACAGTGACAATGACCGGGGTCAAACTTGAGAGATTGATAGGGAGAAGGATTTACGTCGTGAAGTTAGTCTGAAAATGAGTAGAAAGAATTCCAATGATTGCTATCATAGTTGACTCCTGATCTGATCTTGGCCTTCATTCGAACCATGCCACTGACAGATCTCAGTCAGCTCGGCATCAAGCTGCAATGGACATAACGCTCAGGAATGATTCCAGAGCTGGAAGGGGAAGATGAAGGTTCGAACACCAATCTAACTCAGGAACGGTGGTCTGTGAACATCAAACCGTTGTTGTGCTCATTCGGATTTTGGGGTTTGAAGAAGATGACGAACAATGGTTTTCTTGGGGTAGGAGAAGAGAAAAATGAGAAAGAGAGAAGGAAAGGGAGAGAATGATAGAGAGTTGAGAGAGAAAAGGCTGAGAATGGATCGGGGAGAGGAGCTCACGACTACTCTGTTTAAGTCGGCGCTGCAATGAGTTGCAGCGGTGGTTATTAAAACAGGGGAGGAGGAAGAAGAAGAAGAAGAAGAGAGAGAGGAAGAAAAAGGCCGAAGGTGGAGGGGATTGAATCCGCTTGCAACTGCTAGTTCAAAGTGTCGAGTGTTGGAAGAAGATGAGCAGTGGATTTGGGGATTCGGCGGATCTTGATCGATGCATAGGGGGTTTCACTTGGCTCGGCCCCAAAGTATGTCTTCGAATAGTAATGTATACACAAACTTCAAATAGAAGATGATGCTTCAGATAGATCACACTCGAGTGAGTTGTCACTACTAGTTTGGGTCCCGTCACGAGGAAGAGGAGTGAACAGTAGACTAGGTTCCGGTTCGATGGACGAGAGAGGGGAACTGTGGGAGTGGCCAAGAGAGAAAATAAGAGGGGGAGAATGGGGGAGGGATTCCATCGTCGATCGACCGCTGTGTCAAGAGGTAAGGGAGAGTTAATAGTCGATCCCCCCGAATTAGAAAGTTAGGTTTGCTTAAATAGTAAGGTGCAGTGCAGTTTCGTAATTTTTGGGAAACTCAGGGGCATTTTTTGTAATATTGGGCAATTGGATTAAACCGGGTCCAGGAGATAAACCAGGGTTCTTTGATGGATAGTTGGGATTTTTGGGCCCAAAAATGGAGGGTCGAGATTAGTCTGAGTGCAGAGAAGGGTTTTGTGTGTGCGGGCCAATAAAATTGGCCAAAACGAAATCTTACCAGATGGATGGGTAAATGGGGGTATTTTTGACTAAAATTTGACAGGGTGAGGTTTTTGGACATTCCGAGTTGTTTGGTAGGGTCAAATTGGGCTAAAGGGACCCGAATCGGGTGGATTTGGAAAGGGCTTGATTCGTCTAATCTAGAGCCTTGGAATGGAATCTGTGATCGAGGGACAGACAAAGGCAACTTTGGGTGAATTTCACAGGGTAGAGTTTTTTGGATAGTCTGAGGTGATTGGTAAGGTTAGATTGGGCCAGTTGGGCTCAGATTGGAAAGATTTGGAATCCGATCATTCTAGAGTTTCGAAACGGAATCTAGGTGTGATAGAGGGGTAAACCGTAAACAAAGGTGTTTTGGGCTGAAATTTTATAGGTGGGTATCTGGAGGTGTACGGGATATGATGGTGAGGTTTGATTAGTCTTAGAGGGTAAAGACCGTAGGAATTTGGGTTAATAGGATGTTTCGGAACAAAATCTTGGCTTGATGAAAGAGCAAATGGGGGAATCTGGGATTGAAACTTTACAGGCAGGTGTTTTGATGTGTCTAGAGTTTAATGGTGTGGTTTGATCGATTTTGATGTGTCAAGACCAAGGGAATCTGGGTTCTGAGTGTTTAGGTTAACGAGAGAGGTCAAAATGGAATCTTCATTTGATGAGGGGGTAAGTAAAGGAATTTTGAGCTAAAATTTTATGGATAGGTATTTTGGGAGGTCATGGGTCTGATGGTCATGTCTGATCTAATGGTTGAGGTGTAAGTAGGGGTCGATCGGGGCCATTGGATAGGTATCAGGTAGGTTTAATGGTGGATCTGAGGGCTCTGGGGATGAAATTCGGGTTTTTTGGATTTTTGGGTGTTTCGAGGAGATTGGAAGGGTCTGATCGGGCATTTGAGGTAAATTGGAGGTTCTAGCGGCAGACCGAGCAAAAAACAGGTGTTGACAACTAACAAAAGTAATACAAACTTAATGATGGTAATAGCTTTAAAGGAAACATGAAAAATCCCTATCATGTACACGAACGGAAAACTAATCAATGGCATTGCTATAAAGAGATTATGAATGGCACAACTAATGTTGGCCCAATGTTTCAACAGCCCCCACTAAGGAAATCTGATGCAGACTGCAAGTCCACAACCTAATTTTCCATTTAAGAGCTCTAGTTAATTTTATGTATATGTTCTGATTGATAGGCAATTGTTAGATTACTAAATATTTCAGTGAGGAGGGGTTATATTTTTTGCCAACTTAAAGAGTAAAGAATAATTTTTTTGTCTATTGCAAAGGATAATTGATGTATAGGGTCAATGAGGTCCTTTTAACTCTTTTTTTGTTAGTTAACTGATAATTGTGCCAAAAATAATAAAAAAATGGTTATGTTCTAGTTGCCAAGTAACCTTGATTTAGGCTAGCAATTGCCACCTAGTAAAGTCTTTCCAGGTTACATTTCAGTTCTCAACCTTCCCTAAATAGCTAATCTCATCAGCCAAATTGTATGCCAATCCAAGCATCCAAAAATATTCAAATTCCATTTCTCATTAAAACCCCCAACTCCATGAATGTGTTCTTATAATACCATGAACCTATACTATTTTACTGTACCCAACCCACTATTACATGAGTCCCCTTCCACCATGAAAGATCTAATATTGAGAGGTCTTGCCATACAGCCCTTGAACCACCACTAGCAGTTCCACCCTCACGGACCTAGATTGCCCAAACTGCAACCCAAAATTTGGTTTGATTAGGTTGGGACTAGGCAGATTCCATTGCTAGGCATCTGGCAGCCAAAGTTCTAATTGAGGGGTTATAAGCCACCCATTGCCAATTTTTAATGATGCCATCCAAAGACTCCAAACAGAAAACTCAAAGATCCTCAAAGTTTTAATCCAATGAACCACCCTTGTTTAGATACTTTCAAAAAATGGCTTCTTTTTTGCACAATGCTATTAAATATTTTTGTCATTCCTTTCATCCCAAATGGTTTATGGGACAGTTGCCCTTATACACCACATTATCTTCCCTAACCTGGGAAAAGCGAAGAACAAAGCATTAAAGACATCCACCACCTTAGTAGAAAAAGTCTTCCTGCAACCAAAAAGAGTAGAGAACCACTCCCAAATACAAGAAACAAATGAACAAGAGATTGGTAGGTGAAAAGTAGATTCTCCACTTATCTTAGAACACAGATGTGAGGGGATAAATACCATGAAGGTTTTCCCTTCTATAGAGTTGCATGTGTGCTAACCTCAGAGTGATTAACCTCCCAATAGTTCTTACTAAAAAAAGAAACCCCAATAGAATGTCCTGATTTAGGGTGGAATTTAGTTACTCAAAATTTCTTTTGCTGGGAGAGGCTGCCGTATAAGCAACAGGGATAGACTTGTGAAAAAAGGAGCCCATGAAAAGGACCCCAAGCCAAGGTGCAGGTCATCCAAATTCTACAGTTAGGTATAAAGTAATCAAGGATCACACTTTCTAAAGAATTGGCCAAATGAAAATCTCTAAGGCCTCTTCTCAACAGAAGTCCTAGAATAACCCAAAAGGAGAGAGTGATGCAAAGTGGGAGACCAATCAAGATTTGTAAGAGGACAAGGAAAAGAGGAGTGCGAAAGTTTTTTTAAAGTTCTATCACCCCACAAAAAGTCTTCCCAAAACTTGGTTGAATTCCCAAAAGATAATCATAATGAGCTTAAAAGAGAATAAGAAAAATAAGCATATAATGAGCTTTCTACTATTTTCTACAAATGTAGATTGGACAGCCATTGCACCATGCCTCCAACTATTCTTAGACCTGCATGAGAAGGAGGGAGGGAGGGAGATAGAGAGACCTCGATAAGCCAATATATGGTTAAATATTGCCATTGTTTTATTTAATGAGATAAGTGTAATTACACCAGGAGGACTTCTACAACAAGAACAGAATAGGAGGAGGTAATATGTTCGAGAATTCATCATATTTAAGCCATTAAACTTGTATGTCCTCTAGAAATTCTTCAGCTAACAGATTGTGCCCTAGTTTGAGAACCATGGTTAACAAGGAAGTAACCATGTCAACTGGATTATGAGCCATCTAAAACACTGCCCTCCATATGAACAAAAAACTTACTAAATGGAAGTGCATATATAATTAGAAGACAAACACCACTTCCAGAGATAAAAGAAAGTACTTACAAGATGGTGGTACCACAACTGATGGATCCAGATGCCCAGATAAAATAGCACAAACCAAATTTGTGTCAGTTATTCTAGATAGTGAGCGGAGGTGGTGGAAGTGATCAAACTTGTTTACTGAGCCCGTTGGGATTATTAGAACAAAATTATCTCCATCTTCAGAGGCCTTGAAAAAACAGTCAACCAAAAGACCTTAGAAGACAACTGAGCACAGAAAACAAAAGTATACAAGAAGAAAATTAGAGACAATAAATTTTATAAAAACTTTGGCTTTCATAATCCATTGGACAGAACTGGATGTTCAAGACAGTAATTTCAATTGCATAAAAAAGGACTGATAACAATAGCTCATATGCAGGTATCTATGACTCACCCATCACTGGTTAATCACAAATCAAAATGTACATGGATAATGATAACCCTATTATGAGTTATTATTTTTCAAGAGTAAAGAAGAATATTTTATTAAAACAGAAAGATACAAACTTGTTGGGTGTCAAGATAACACCCAAACATCTGAACACTAGGAAAACAAGATTACATTAAGACTAGGAACTCAAGAAACCCCAGAAATTTTCTACTAGATCTACACTGTTAAATTGCTTCCAGCTTGAAACAAGCTTTCAACTGAGGCCACCTCCATGTCAAAAGCTTCTAACTTGTTTTCCTGTAATAAGGCCACCTCCGGAATATGTGTTCTAATCAAAAACCTAACCCACTCTCTCCTTCTCTCCTCCTTCAGGCCTCGGACATTCCAAGATGACAGCTTCGTTCTGCTCCCCCTTACCTGACTCCCCCCACCTCCGTCCCCTTACTCTTCCTCTGCACAGAAATTTTCCTCATCCCAGATTTTTTCCTGTCTATTTTTCTTTCTTTTTAAATTTTTCTTTTTTCCTCAAATCGTTCAAAAGCAATTCTTGCAAATCCCTCCCCTCCCCAAAAATGAAGGCCTGGCAATTCCCAATCGCTACCTCCCTTTTCAACAGGTTGTCTAAATCAAGCACTGTTGACTGATCAACTTCACTCCCAGTGGCTCCTGGCACTTTCTCTTCCCCCCGGCTCTCTTCACCTCTTCTTCCCCACACCCTTCCTTCGAGGCTCTTCTCTTTCTTCTCTTGTCTTGAGCAGGGAAGAAGGGGTAGATATAACAGGATGACTTACCTACCTCTTCAAGTATGCAAACCTCTTCATCTCCTTTATCACCAGGGCCCTTGTCCCCTACTCCTTCCTCCAACATAAAACTCTTCCCCGATGGCCAACTTCAGAACATGTGATACTCTGGTCATGTTCTTCTGAAGCTCGAGTTGAATTTTTTACGCATGATTCTTCCTGGCTACCCAGATTAGTCTCAATTCATCAGGTCCAGTAGAACATTTTTGTGGAGATATTGTTCTCTTTAATAGTAGAAAGACATTAAAGAACTTATAATAGCTTATATTCAGGCATTTATGATTCACCCATTGGTGGTGTATCGCAATCAAAATAAATATAGATACCTGATTACATATTTTCCATTCATCCAGTCCATTAGAACATTTTTTGTGGAGATATCGTTTTCTTTAATTGTTGAAAGACAACAAAATTCAGAATATCATCCAAATCCTGTTAGTTCCATTGTTACCTCGGTGTGTGGTAGAGGTGCCAACCATTCAGGTTTCCAAAAGCATTTGATACCTCTATCTCCAAAAATCATGGCATGGGGTCATGGCAGTAAATAATGCTTAATTACATAAATACTTCACAAATATGGGAAAAACAACAAAATCTAAGTGTCAACTCATTTTGGATGCGTCCTCCACATGACATCATTTTTTCTATTTCTAAGTACAAAGGTTTTTGGCCATCCAGCTAGGAACACCATTGAGATGCAACAAAAAAATATTGCACCAAGTGTTAACACTGTTAGATCTTCTATTTTGAAGTGTTTTGGCAACACTGCTTAAATGATCCAAATGGTTCTATGATTTAATGGATAATTCTACTGGTTCTGACTTTTCAAAGCTTTTGGTATAGAGTGGTCCATTTGATTTTTAGACGGTGTTGGTCCAAGTCGATTCTAGTTGTCAAAACATTGCTATAACATTAATCTATTTAGCTCATTGCACCTGTCAGCATGTCCTAAACCTGATAACATATCAAACTAACTCAAAAGTATAATGAAGCATGAAAAGGCAATAGCTATAAAAGTAAAACTTACTTGGCTACTTGAGCAGAAATCATCAATAGAAAGAGCCTTCGCACCACACACATCCAACAAAGATTGCAATCTGCTCCCAAATATATACTGCATTTAAAATGTTAAACTTTCTGACATAAGAACCTATCAGTTTTCCAAAACCCAAGAATGTTTAAAATATTAAGCACACTATGATATATATAATCACAAGATTTTGATGCCTATGCTAATTAATGAAGAAAAACATTTAAGCTTTTTTAAATTCAAAATACTTTTTTTTCAGTTTTCACAATAAAATCTTCAGAAATAAATTAAGTTTTTCAAAACATCTAATGGAATTTCGCCAAAATAAAAGTTTGAGACTTTATTTTTGACCATTACTAGAATTAGGGAGAAAATGAAGCTTTAATATTCCAAGAGATGTGTTGAAGGAATCATAATATCACCAAATTAAGTGATCCCAACAAAAAAGTATGTCCGGCCAAACAGTTTTCTCGATGCTTAGGGTCCACAATTTTGATCGGCATTCCTTCGAACATTAAAGTAGGAACAAAGCTGTCAAGAAGAAGTAGAGCTGATCTTATTTGAAGTTGATATAAAATTAAAGGAATTCCATGGAGTAATATGCAAATCCTGTCTACAGCAGAAAACTTACAGAGAGCAGCTTGGAATTTCAGAACGAATATTATCCTGTGAAACAACCTGGAAATGATAGACTTGAACATATATCAATGACAATCTAGTAAATATCAAATAGAAAGAAATATAAATGAAGTACATGTGTTCATTTTTTCTGAAACATTTATTGGTTAAAGTGCAATAAAATGGTGGCGAAAACCATCAAAAATATCCAGGAAGATAGGTCCTGTCTCTTGATATCAATACATGCCCAATCATGTTTTTAAGTTAGAAATACCGATTAACATGATTATCTAATTACTTGAAAGCCACTCCAGAAAACCATGTTATGCTCTTTCTGAGTATATTCTCAATACTACTATACTACATTCATAAAGAATTTGCCTCCACCGCTCACTATAAAACTCTTAGGAGTGGCCAAAGTATCTCTTGATTTGTTTTCCTATTCTGTCCTATTATATATTGCTATGTGTTTATTTGGGATACTTTGGACATGGGCTTTCATGTCTTTATTTTTTCAACTTAAGTAGGGGCAGATTAGTTGGTTTATCTTTATTTACTAAATAGGGTTTTATAATTGTAATTCTGTCTGAATTAGACTAGATTGATATACATAGATGTATGACCAATTTATAGACTATTCTATTCTCCTCAATCAGCAGTCTCCTTTTCTCCATTCCAGACTGCTTCCTCTCTTCTACTTCTACTGTTCTACTTTCATGTTTATATTCTTCTGCAACCAGGTTTGTTTTACATGGTATCAAAGCAGGGGTTGGAGTATATTTCTTTTTTATCAGCAAATGGAGTAGATTTCTTCCCCTTTTTCTTCTCTTTCTTTTTTGATCAGCAAAGAAGAATTTTATTTGAAATTAGAGTTAAAAAGTGTTACAACTTTGTTTATGGGATTAGAGCTCCCACACTACTACAAATTTCTGTCCCTCTTTATATTGCAGCCCAAAACAGTTGGTGCCTCAAAGCCCCTTGTTTAGCAAGATAATCAGCTAGCCCATTTGCACTCCTTCTAACCCATTTAAATTCAGCCTCTACCTCCCTTGCAATCTTTTCCACTTCCCTTATCACTTGTTTGAAAGTCCACAGAGTAGTTCTATTGTTTTTAGCCCAAGAGATGATCACCTTGGAGTCCCCTTCAACCTCAACATGCCTCATTCCTAGTTGCTTAGCTATCTCCAATCCTTGTAGCAATGCCTTTAGCTCAGCTTTTAGAATGTTGCCCATGCCAATAGGTTCAGAGAACAATGCTATTATTCTCCTTTCAGAATTTCTGATTACTCCCCCAATACCTGACAGTCCCGGATTTCCAAAGGAGCTTCCATCAAAATTCAGTTWAATCCTRTTACCWTCTGGAGGTTTCCATTCCATCCTTACTCTCTCTTTCACTCTTGAAGATTGCGCTACTTCTGTCCAGGATCTTATAATGTCTGTGATTGAGAACTCTTGAAAGATATGTAAGGATCTTATCCAATGACCTACTTTAACTTTAATTGTGTCGATTACCTCCTCCTTTGTTCTACTCTTATCCAAAAATATTGTCATTCCTTTCTTCCCATATTACCCAACAAATAGCTGCCTTTGTAGTTTTTTTTATCAGTAAATATGTGTTTTATTAAAATTCAGATTCAGATTGTAAACATTTTATAAAATTTGATGATGAGACTGTTGATCCCTATTCCTCACTCTATTTATCCCCTCATTACAATGTAGCCCAAAATAATTGTTGTCTCAATGCCCCTTGTTTTGCTAATCCATCAGCTAGCCCATTTGCACTTCTACGGACCCATTTAAATTCAGCCTCAACCTCCTTGGCAATCTTCTCCACTTCCCTAATCACATGTTTAAACGTCCATGGGGTGTGGCTGCTATTTGTTGCCCGTGAAATTATTACTTTTGAATCCCCTTCCACTTCAACATGTCTGCACCCTAGTTGTTTGGCTAGCTTTAACCCTTGTAATAATGCCAATAGCTCAGCCTTTAGCGAGTTTCCGTTGCCAATCGGCCCTGAGAACATACCCAATATCCTCCTGTCAAGGTTTCTTAATACTCCTCCTATTCCTAAGATGCCTGGATTTCCATATGAGCACCCGTCAAAATTCAGCTTTACTTTATTGCCTTCAGGTGGTTTCCACTCCGGCCTTATTTTATCTCTTGCTCTCGAAGATTGTGCTACTTCGGACCATGTTCTTAGAATATCTTCAACTGAGAAGACTTGAAAGCAATCTATGAGTTTTACCCAATGGGCTACTTTCACTTTGATATTATCAATCACTTCCTCTACTGTTCTACTTTTTTCCAGGAAGATTATGTTGTTTCTCTCTTCCCATATTACCCAACAGATTGCTACCTTTGTTGCTTTCCACATTACCATCCCTCTTTTCTTTCTCTGTCTCAAGAAATCATGGTTGAAGAGTCCCGCCACATCTTGAGGGGGAGCCCACCTGCAGCCAAAGAGAGTACAAAAGAAATCCCAAATTCGATGCACAAAAGAACAAGATATCATTAAATGAGAAAGGGTCTCACCGCTTTCCTTACACAATGAACACACATGAGGAGAAAGGCACATATATGGCCTTCTTTTCTGCAGCATATCACAAGTGTTTACCTTACCAAGGAATACTTCCCAACAGAAAGCTTGGATCTTCGGGGGAATAGGCTTGCACCAGATTTCTTTCACAGGGAAGGTCCCACCTAGAGGGTTGGGGGAAGCAAGTACTTTGAAGAAAGAGGAGCAAGAAA